AAACGTTTGTGCATTGTACTGTATTTCTATAGTTTTCACTTTAATATCTCTGATCAAAATTCTATGCTTTAGTCTTTGGTACTTCTAGTGTTGAGATTGAGACGTTCCGTCATTTTCTAATGATTTTCTAATATATGAATTGGATGTAACAATTTACGTGAAATACGAAATTTTAGGTTTGTCCATAACTTAATAATCATAATATCTCTCATATGAGAGCCGACATGTTGAACAATTCTCAGTTGTACGTACATTTAAATGTAAGGCAAAGCAAATGATAAGTTTATTAGTTCTTAATAATTTCTATCGAAAGAAGGGGAAAGCAACGAATTATTGTATACGATTCGGTCACTTGTTATGGTCCGCAATCAGTTGCCAGCGCAAGTGGTTAACACTAGAACTACCGAGTGGTCAAAATGACTGATTCATAATTTTTTTTTAGATATATTACAAATGCAGAATAATGCATTTTTGGAGGTTCAAATGATTTTTTATAAAATACACGAATAAACGTTTGTGCATTGTACTGTATTTCTATATTTTTCACTTTAATATCTCTGATCAAAATTCTATGCTTTAGTCTTTGGTAGTTCCAGTGTTAAGATTGGGACGTTCTGTCATTTTTTAATATATCAATTGGCTGTAACTATTTATGTAAAATTGAAATTGATAATTTTAGGTTTTTCGTCCATAACATATCTCATATAAAAATAAAATAAAAACAGCCGACATGTTGTACAGCTCTCAGTTGAAAACGTATATTTAAATGTAAGGCAAAACAAATGATAAGTTTGTTAATTCTTAATAATTTCTATCGAAAGAAGGAGATAGCAACCAATTATTGTATACGATTCGGTTACTCGGTTATGGTCCGCAAACCAGTTGCCAGCGCAATGGTTTAACAAGTTTGCCAACTTTGTTTCACCGACTGACAAGCGCAAGGATATTCCTCGGATCGTTTTGTTGCTTACTCCCCACGTCCGTATCGATAAACTGTTCTGCATTTCAGCAGAAGTTACATTGTCGGACCTTGCCGTGCTTCCCACTGAATAAGTGATATATCGCGAGCCTCTAGCATGCGGCGTGGGATAATGGCGCCGGCGGATGGTCAGGTCGATCGCGATTCGGTGACAAATTGCGAGCCGGTAGCAAGCTACCAAAGCCGGTAAACAAGATTTTCGGCTCGTCCGGGAATTTTCCCATTTGCTTTCTCTCTCTCTCTCTCTCTCTCTCTCTCTCTCTCTCTCTCTCTCTCTCTCTCTCTCTCTCTCTCTCTCTCTCTCTCTCNTCTATCTATCTATCTATCTATCTATCTATCTATCTTTCTCTCTCGACGAGAGCGTCGGCACTTCCGGCGAACCGTGAAATTGATGAAAGAGACGTGGTAAGAGGACCGGAAGACCGTTCCTCGAGCTCGATCGAGACGGTAATTAAATTCGAGGGGCGTCGTAATCGCGGTCGAAACGAAATCACGAATTTGCGGCTACCTCAACTTTGTAGAAATCGGACCTTCGATTCGAACGTGTTATAGAACGAGGAATTATACGTCTGTACGGTGTAGCAACACGACAATGAAAAAATTGTCGATAATTTCAACTTCGTAGAAAGAGATCGACTTTTGTTTGAACATTGAAAAATTTCTATTTCTTTCGTCTACTAAAATCCATTGCCATTTTGAAGTAACGATAATCAAACGTACAATTTCATCGGACGTTTAACATCAGGGTTAAACGGCAAAAATTCATTTCGTCCAATGTTGAAAATTGTACAAGAATTTTAAGGCTTCATTGCCAGAGAAAAGGCTTTGATCTTCGAGATCCTGATGAATTTCATCCTGAGAAAATTGTTTTAACGCTTCTACGCGCGTTTGATGCTTGATGACAATTTTTCGAGGATTATCAAAATAGAGGGTCCACATTTATCTTTTTCACAATGTTGAAATAATCGACAATGTTTCATTGCCGTTGATACAAATTATGCTACTTCACTGCTACGCACACACGTATGCACGTGGGAAGTAGAGCAAGTGATTCCTCGTCGAAAACGAATACGTTTGAGGAGAAATTAGCAAAAGTATAGAAATCACAGAATACACAGAATGTAGATATTCGAACGACTCGTGTAATTTTCAACATTTCGCCAAATGACAACTTTCCCATGTGTCCATCTATTCTACAATATATTCTCGTGATCGTTGAAATTTCAAAAAATTCACCGCCGATGCATTTCGAGATCGGCTATTGCATAAGTATTACGAGCGCGTTAAGTATCGTGTATTACAAAATACATCTTTGAGGAGGCACGCCGTCGAACGACGGTGATCTGTTATAATTCGATACAATCATTTTTCGAGCTCTAACAAACAGTTTCACATTTTAATCAAGAAAGATTAGCTCGCCGGAGTCGGGCAACGAGTCATTAGAGGGAACATGCTGGACGTTGTAATTTCAGCAGTCATAACAGACCTACCGACTCATTAGCCACGCTGACCGATTCGCGTTCTTTCGTTCGTTAATAAAAAAAAAAAAAAAAAGAAAAAACAAAACGAAAACCTCATGTTTCGTGTAAACTGGACATTTCCAAAAAAGGATCAAACAAATTGTCGATGTATCTGGACCTATCACAGATCCTCCGAATAAAAAAATTACCTCTCAAGACGAGTCACTTTCGAAATTGGTCGAATTTAAGCTGTTAAGAAGATCGATAAATTTCTAGTTTTCCCATTTTTGGGCTATTTCGTCACCGTTTCATTAATCAGAGGTTCTGAGAGATTTTATTTTCTTAATCTGAGTTTTTTATCTGATTTTCTATCTGATTTTTGTTTTTTTCATCTGATCTACTAAAATGAGAAGTCAATCGAAAAAGTCACAGTGATTTTTTGTTTTTTTTCAAAGATTACAAGATTATAAGCGAAATAGCCGAATTTCGAAAGAGAGTCGCTAAACTAGGAATCTACCAAGCATTTGGCCATTTATCGCGGGAATATATACAACGTATTTAAAGTTTCATTAATTTTTACAACGAGACACGGTCGCCGTATGCATTAATGGAATTCGAAACCAATCTACTGAAAATATATCCCCAAGAGCTATGAAACTTTTATAAACGTTCAAATACCTAGGCGTGTAGAAAGCTTCGTTATAACGTTTACGTACAAAGTGTACGAATATAAAGTTTGAAGGAAGGTACAAATTGGTTTGGGTGATCGATAAGAGCGAGCGCCTAACCTAGAAATAACGTTGCATTATCCAGCAATCGGTATTCTTTCCAAATCAAACAATAATTGAAGAGACGTGAAATTTGTTTGCGAGTTTTAAGTCGATAGAGACGAGAGTTTTATATTATACAGGGTGTTTCATTTTTATCCTGTCAGCGTGTTCGGCGAACGTGACATCACTTGGCGGGATAAAAATAAAACAGCGTAATATAATTAATCAGCTTCTTAATCGTTCGAGTTCAAATTTGATCAACTGGATCAACGTAGACAAAGCTTCTTTTATCGCCGAAGAAAGAAAACCAATTTTCCCCGTTCGTCGAAAGCAGGACTCGAAAAGATTAAGGTTAAATTTTCGTCAATTTCTAGCTTACCGACTTTTCCATACGCGTGAATATTAAACAATTTCTTTTAAAGAAAACAACGCTTCTCCATTTGCTACGTAATGAGTTGAAATATTTTTGGGGAAAAAGAACGAATTCAGAGCAACGAAAACAGAAGCTTTACGCTTTAAAATGGATTGTTACACGATCGATGTTTAACAAAGTTACAACAGTTTTTCGTTTAGAAATTAATTAATTGCACCGCAAAACTGACTTCGATTTACGCTTGCTTTACAAGGTCATGAAATTTTTCTTGGAAAGTCAAAACTAGTACATACTCTATTCTTTTTTTTTTTTTTTTTTTTTTTTTTTCAAAAAAAAAAAAAAATTTTTTCTCTTCGATAAATGTAGGAAGTAGCTGTACATATTGATATGTCTGAAATCAAAG